ATTGCAGCTCGGTTCTGGCGCGGTTCCCGCTGCGATGGCGGTGCCGCCAGCCGGTGCTTTGCGTGCGATGCTCAGAGTCGCGCTCGGCAATTTCTTGGACGAGGCGGTTGCCCGTGTACAATGCCTTCAGTGCTTGTGCAGTTGTCCGCCGATTTTCAGACCCCATCCGTCGCCAGATCCCAGGGGGGCGGGGGTTGGGGGGGCAGTGCCGGCCTCGCAAACGGGTCGGGAAATCAGGCGGGCCCCCAGGTCAGGCGATCCGAGGCGACGGGACCTTCAAGCTCGCCAAGCGAGTGTACCATCGTGTGCGGGGCTCGCGCTTTCACTGGCGGCCGTTCACCGTCGTCTTGGCGTAGACTGGGACGGACGGCAGTCTGCTGAAGCCTGCCTGTCACCCTGAAGCGTTGCGAGACGGTCTCCGCCGTCGTCGAAGACTCGTCGCCGCTGCTGGACAGCATCAAAGCCGCCCGCCTCGCAGCGGACCTGCCGCCCGAGGCGCGCGCCCCCGTCTTCCACGCCGCGGACAACTTCTGCAGCCAGCGCGTGCGGCTCCGGGTTCTGTGGAGGCAGAAGTGTGGCCGGAGCGGAACCTCGGCCCGCCGAAGCCCGAACGGCAGCCGCGCGGGGCGCCCGCGGTTGCGGCTGGTGGCCGTGGCCCTCCGCGCCAGCGTCTGATCGACTCTTTCGCGGCGACCTGATTGCCCGCGGCGCATAGACCGGCATGCGGCGAAACCGCTGCAGGCTCGGCGGGGGGGCGGGCTCAGCTGCTGGTGGGAGGTATGGATCCCACGCGGCATCCTGCTCCAGGTCGCCCACCTCCGAGTGGAGGTATGGGGTCGGTTACAGCCAATTGCGGGCGCGCCCGGGGGCTCCGCCTGCGGCCTGCCATGGGTTGAGCCCACATGGCTACGGGTGTTTCTGATGCTGGCGATGACGAGGTTATGTACATGATTTCTTCCTCCTTCTCTTCCTTCTCCCACGACTCCTGCTCCTCCTGCAATTCCCGCAGTCACTCGTGGACGCCATCCTGGAGCTCTCTAGGTTCATCTTGGTTTGCTGCCGAGGTCATGTAGGAACAGCGTCGCGCGGTCAAGCCAACGACCGAAGGGGCCGACAACGCGTTTTTTGGGCCGAACGCACCGCGTGGGTCCCTTCAGTCGGCGGCTGGACGGACCTTGGGGCCGATTGGGATGGGGGGCTGGACAGCTCCTGGGCGTTCACGCCGCTACGCCGCTACACCGCTACACCATTACACCGCTGCGCAATGACAGTGGGCCGCAACGGAGCAAATCAGCCCCCATAGACGTCCAGACCCCCAGGTGTCAATATTTTGGCTCATCGCGCGGCCCAGCCAGCGACCGAAAGGGCTAGGAGTGTGGGGGGGGAAGCGGAGAATGAGGAGGAGGAGGAGGAGGAGGAGGAGGAGGAGGAGGAGCAGGAGGAGGAGGATGAGGAGGATGGGAGGAGGAGGAGAAGGAGGAGGAGCAGGAGGAGGAGGAGGAGGAGGAGGATGAAGAGAAGGAGGGAGGGAAGAGAGGAGGAGGAGGAGGAGGAGGAGGAGGAGGAGAGAGGAGGGGAGGAGGAGAGGAGGAGGAGGAGGAGGAGGAGGAGGAAGTGCATCCTTTGTGTGCCCGCTCGAAGAAAGTGCGCCCGGGAGTGTGATATTCTGACTTGGGACGTGCTCCCGGAAGAGGAAGAAGTGCATCTCGGGCGTGCCCGCTCGAGGAAAATGCGCCCTAGGGGGGGGTATTTTGACTCGGGGCCCGCTCCCGGGACGCCTCTGCGGGAGGAGGAGGAGGAGGAGGAGGAGGAGGAGGAGAAGGAGGAGAGGAGCAGGAGGAGGAGGAGGAGGAGGAAAAGGAGGAGGAGGAGGAGGAGGAGGAGGAGGAGAGGAGGAAGTGTGCCCGCTCGAGGAAAGTGCGCCCCGGCGGGCGTCGTATCTGCCCCGGGCCCCCCCCCCCTCCGCCTCCCCCCCTGCGGGGAAGGGATCAAAGGGAAGGGGCTTCCCTTCGACTCCACTACGACGTCGTTTAATTTCGCTTTGGATAGCGCGCTTGAGGAAGAGAGCCCTGGGAGGGGGACAACGGAGACGACGGAGACGACGAGTCGAACGGAGAAGCCCCTCACACACGCCGACAGGGTCGGCGGATTTCCTCCTCCTTGCCTTCCTTCTCCTACTACTCATGCTCCTCTTGCAACTCCCGCAATCACTCGCGTACGTCATCCTGGAGATCTGTGGGTTCATCTTGGCTTGCTTCCGAGGTCATGTAGGAACAACGTCGCGCGGTCAAGTCAGCGGCCGAAGGGACCGACAACGCGTTTTTTTGGGGCCGAACATGCCGTGTGAGTCCCTTCCATCGGCGGCCGACTGGACTTTAGCCGCTTGGGGGTGGCTGGACAGCTCTGGGGCGTCCACGTCACTACGCCGCTACACTGCTACACCATTACACCGCTACACAATGACAATGGGGTGCAATGGGGCAGATCAGCCCCCATAGACGTCAGAACCCCCAGGTGTCAATAGTTTGGCTCATCGCGCGGCCCAGCCAGCGACCGAAGGGACCTACAAATCGTTTGTTGGGAAAACTTGCTTTGGAGGTCCCTTCGATTGGCGGCTGAACGGACCTTGGGTTGCACAGCTGTGAAGCGTAACGTGGCTTGTTGCGGGTAACGGCGTAACGGTGTACAGGTGCAGCGTTACACCGTTGAGGCTAACGGTACAACGGTGTAGCGGTGTAGCGCGACATCGTTGCCGCTAGCGGTGTAACGGTGTTGCGGCGTATGTAGCGTTGCACCGTTGCGGCGAACGTTATATTGGGTTAGCGCTACACCGTTACACCGTTAGCGTAACGGTGTAACGGTGTAGCGGTGTAGCCCTACACCGTTGCCAGCTAATGGTGTAACGGTGCAGCAGCGGCGTAAGCAACGATTCGCGCCCTGGATCCCCCCACGCTGGTTTTTCTTCCCCGCCCTCCTGCTAAGTCTTTGTTGCCCTCCACCCTCCTATCTCCCTCGTGCCCCCCTTCTCCTATCGTTTCCTCCTCCCTTTTTCGTTCTCTCCCTGTTCCTCTCTCCCTCATCTTCCTATGTAAAGGGCTGCGCCAACTGCACGTGGCAGGCCAAGAAGATGAGCTTCCAAAGAGCGTGCGATCAACCACGAAGAGGGCGGGTATAGATGGTTTGGGGGTCTTTATGTTGAATGTCCCGCAAGCAGCGAAGAGCGCTGCGTCTCAAACGATTGGTGTTGTCCGTGAATCTCATTCACCAAGTTGTCAGTTATGATTGTTGGGCCCAGTCGATACGCTATGCGCACTGCCGCTCTCGCCTCGGCACCCGCTGCACTTCTTTTGAAAACGAGGCGCACACTCGAGCGTTTCGGGTGCTGCCGAGACCGCACCCCAACAACGACAACAACAGCAGCAGCAACATCAACAACACCAACAACAACAATCATGTTAATACTGTTCGCTCTTACTGGCAAGCGTGTCTTGCATTCTGTCTACCGCAACCCACGATACCCGCCCGCTTCGTCTTCGATTGCACCCCCTCCGGGGGGAATCTCTTCCTTGTCGGCCACGGACTGAAGTGCGAGGAAGTCTCGAGCGAGAGCGCCGTTCCTGAGTTCGGGGGCCTCTCTGGCCAGGGGCTCTCGGAATACCTATGGGGAAATATCGAACGAGAGCCGTTGTCGCCGTGTCCGGGCCCCCTCCAACTTGCTTGAATCACAAGAAAATCTCGAGCGATAGCGCCGTTCCTGAGTTCGAGGGCTTTTTTTGTCCAGGGGCTCTTGGAGTGAATCGTGAGGGAGTATCGAGCAGGAGACCTTGTCGTCGTGGCGGGGCCTCCGCCTCTGATTGAATTGCGAGGAAGTCTCGAGCGAGAGCGCCGTTCCTGAGTTCGAGGGCCTCTCTGGCCAGGTGTCTCGGGGTAAATACTGCGGAAGTATCGAGCGGGAGCCGTTGTCGTCGTAGCTGGGCCTCCAAGGGCCCACATTTAGGCTCAAGCCACCGCTCGAGCGGGAGCCTCGTTTTCAGAGAAAATGTAGCCAGCGTCGAGGCGAGAGCGCGCGGAACCGTTTCCGGAGATCAACAATAATTATTCTCTAGAAGTGAGGACTCAACGCTCCTGCTCGAGATGTCTTCGCTTGTTGCGAAGGACTGGTGGTGCTCTTGCTCGCCGCTGAAAGTCGGCCTTTCAATACAACCACCGCTCCCGTTCGATGTCTGCTCGTTTTTTTGTTTACTCTGGAGTGGCGCTCTCGACTCGGCGCCGCAAGCCACCCCCCTTACAAGAACAGCACTCCCGCACGAGCACTCTCGGACGGCCCAAGAGCGCCCCAAGACAGCCCAAAATAGCGTCAAGACGACCCGAGCTGCTTCGGAAGAACCCCAAGACACACTCACACACAGCCCAGGATGGCCCTAGAGGCTCCCATGATGACACCCGAATGCTTCAAAGGCTCCCCAGAAGCTCAAGGACAGCCCCAGACGGTCCCGGCAGCCTCCAGGGTCAGCCCCGAAGATCCCCAGGGATCCCCACACCTTCCATGTCTGATCATGCTTATCGCCCTTCTTTTCATCTTTCAAGGTGGTTTGACTGTAGTGTCCCTCGCGACCCCCCAAAAGAACGCATCGAGTGGTTCGATTTCGGCTCAGAGTAGTCCAAACCTGTACTGGCTCCGTTGATGTGTTGTGCGATCTGAAGGTCGTGAAGGCGTCGGGAGAGTTAGCTCGGCCTCCTTGGGCGGGAGGAGATCTGGGCGGAATGTCCCGTCCCTGATGCATGACATGATTCCTCCACGAAGGGGGGAGCTATCGTAATGGATGCATGTTGCGTGTGCATGCGTCGAACGTTTTGGTAAACAAGCAGTTGCTGTTGTTGGGGGGGGGGGCGCATCCCAAATTCTCTCTTTATCCTGCCGCCCACCTCCCCTGTCCCCTTCTCCACCTCCTCCCATCTCGTCGCTCCTCCTTTGTACTCCCCCCTCCCATCTCTCGGAGGCAAGACCCCTCCAGATTGTGAAAATCGATCTCGAGTCGAACCAGGTCGTGATCGGCGAGGAAGAGATCAAGCACATAGAAGCAGCCCTGGCGAGCACAGGCGTCGAGAAGGTGGCAATTGTTGGCGTGATGGGCGCATTCCGCACAGGGAAGTCGTTCCTGCTGGACTCTCTCTCCTCCTCCATCCCCCTCCTCCCCCCTCCTTCTCCTCCTCCTCCTGCTTTATCATCCTTTTCCCTCCTCCTCCCTTCCAGGCCTGCGATGCCTCGTTTTTTTTTTCGTGCGGGCTTTCCGCCCTGGACTGTTTCGGCTGGACCGTTCCAGGGCCCGCCGAGGGACCCCGGACGTCGAGAACGGCGAGGAGCCTGCGTCTCGCCCCTGTCCAGTGCGCTGGAAGTCTGTGCCCTCCTCTCGCCACCCCAACCCAACCCGAAGGCCTCAAGTTGCCCTCCATCTCCAGTGTGGGGGGGGTCGGGGAACATCGGAAGAACACACCTGGGAGCCCATGCCCCCTCCAACCCGAAATTCGGGTCTTCGGGTTGGGTTGGGGTGGTCTGGTAGGTAGCCATCCTCTCCCTCCAGGACTTCATGCTTAGATACGCGCGCGGGGTGTCGATCGAGAGACCCGGCGGCGCGGGCGCGGCGGCAGGCCAGGACGAGGGCTGCGAGGTACCCAGGTGGGTTGTCGACCAGCAGGTGCCCGACTGGGTCTTCAAGTGCGGCTCCTCCATGACCGAGGGTAGGGAAACTCCGGGCATGGTGGCAGAGGACAGGGGCTGCCAACAGTTGTCGAAGAAGAGACAACTGCATAAACAGAACCTCTGCGGAGGTCCGCGAGGATCTGCTAGATCCGTGCTGGACCCCCCTGGCGGCGCCTCTGGCGCTGCCCCTGGCGCACTCTGGAGGGGTCCAGCGACGATGCAAAAGACATCCGCGTGGAGCTCCGACAGTCTATGGTTATGCAGTTTTCCCTTCCTTTGAAATGGAGGCTGGGGACGTTCAGAGTTTCGAGAACCAGCTCGTGTTGCCGAAACGTTCGAGGCCAATCCTGGCCGAGTGCTTCGGGCCTCGAGGGGGTATCTCGGGGGCGGCAAAGAGGGGGGTGAGGACTAGGGGGGGTGGATATCATGGCGGGGGGCATGATATTTCCCCACGTTCCATGGCGCCTCTTCTTATTTCATTACGTCCCTGGCCCCCCCGCTGGGCCGCGCACATGCCGCCGGTCATGATTTGCACCCCCCCTCTTGGACACCCCCCTCTTGGCCGCTCCCGAGTATCGACTGATCCGCTCCACGAGCCGCTTTTCTGACGCGTCTTTTTCTGATTCCCCTGGTTAGAAGCCCTGGCAGGAGGCAGAGGGCTTTCTATGGCGCCCTGGAATGGAGAAGTGCACCGAGGGCATCTGGGTGTGGTCGGAGGCCTTCGTGATGAGGTCTGGGACAGCACGGAAGGATGAGGAAGCGGAGGAGGAAACGCAGGAAGCGGAGAAGGAGGATCATGAAGAGCCTTAAATTCTTCTGATGAGGTCTGGTAACGAGGACGTTGCGGTCCTCTTGATGGACACGCAGGGCGCCTGGGATGCGAAGATGAGCAAGGATCATGATGCAATAGTGTTTTGCCTCATCAGCACGATGGCGCTCCTCCGCCTCCTGTTGAATAACGTCGTCCTCCTTTCCTCGCTCACCCCAGCCAACTAATTCCTTATGAATATCTCCTCCCTGTCACACCCGTGGAAGCGTCCGTTGGGCGGGCTGAGCATTTCGCATGAAACTGCCTCACCATTCATGAGCATGAAGTGTGAAGTTCGCAGCAGTTCAAACATGGAAGGCGGCTGCTTTTCAATATGTGGCTCTCGCCTTCGCGCCGCGCACGGTCGTCTTCAAACTTTGCAGCAGTTTCAAAGATGGATGGCGAGCCCATTTCAAAATGTGGCTTTCTTTGTAGCGCCGCGCACATTCGCTTCACAATATTGCAGCAGTTGTATGGCTGGAGGGGGCGTCCTTTTGAACATGTGGCTCTCGCCTGAGCGCCGCGCATTCGTTTTAAACAATGGCCGCAGTTTTTAGGTACAGTCGATTTATGTTCAACATACGGCTCTAGCCTCAGCGCCGCGCGCATTATGTTTTGATGGTTTGCTGCATGTTTAAGGGTTCGTGGGGTTGAAGTCCCAGGGATGGCTTTCTGGCACGGTTTCGGTCTGTCAGGGCGCGGCAATCACGTCGATCCGCAGTGCTGAAGTCCAATGGTGTTTTGACATGGCTTAGAATTCTCCCAAGCTGTTGTTCTTCAATGAGGCACTTCCCTCAATGAAAATATCGAATCCCTGCAGGGGCCTGTGGAGAGGGAGCTTGGAAGAAGGGTTTATTGCAACATCGTTGCTGCGTTCTTGGTTTCCTCTTCCTCCTCCTCCCCTCCCTCTTCGCCCTCCCGTCTCCTCTTCCTCCCCATCGTACACCGCCGTCTGTCTTCTACATCCTCTCTTCAGGAGCAGAGCGCCACAGTGTTTGGCCTCACAACCCTGATGACTTCGCGCTTGATCTACAATGTCAGCAAGCAGATCCAGCAGGACAAGGTAGACAACTTATTGTACTTCGTCGATTTCGCCCAGGCGGCGCTTCGAACAAAGGAGATCAGAGGCCTGGACGCTTCCAAGGGCTCTGCCCAGCCTTTCCAGACGCTGGAATTCCTAGTGCGCGATTGGCCGCACTATGCCGACGGCGAGACCGTGTCACGAGGCAGAGACATGATGCTCGCACACTTGGACCAGTATCGGGATCCGAAGGTCCCCGCCAACTTCTCTTCTCGGGAGGAGAAGGATGATGATGATGATGATGATGATGATGATGATGATGATGATGATGAGGAGGAGGAGGAGGAGGAGGAGGAGGAGGAGTAGGAGGAGGAGGAGTAGGAGGAGGTTCGCACACTTGGATCAGTATCGGGATCCTCAGGTCTCTGCCGACACCTCGAGCATGGACAATCTGGCCCGGATGTTCGGCAACATTGACGTCTGGTGCTTGCCGCACCCCTCCCTGAAGATAGAGCGGGAGAGCTGGGACGGCAAGCTGGACGTCATTGAGCCCGACTTCTGGCGGTTCTTGGACGACTATATGCGGAAGATCTTTTCCCCCTCCGAGCTCGCGGTGAAGACGACCATGGGCACTCCCGTGACGGTGGGCTCCTTCGGCGCCGTCATCCGGAAGTTCATTGCCGCCTTCGGGGTGGCGGCCCCCCAGGCTCAGACCTTCGCAGAGGCCATGGAGACCTCCACTTCGCTCCTGGCGGCCGAGAGCGCCATGAAGGTGCTCCGGGCGCAGATGGAGGCCGCGCTCCCCGCGCTCGGGGACGAGGCGCTGGCCCCCGAGGCGTTCGAGGAGCGGGCGAGCGCGGCGGCCCGGGAGGCGCAGCAGGAGTTCGAGGACAAGGCCATCTTCGGCGACGAGGCGGGGATCAGCAGGCGCGGGAGCGCGCTGAAGGTCCAGGTCTCCAAGGAGCTGGACAGGCACCGATTGCCTGTTGGAGGAGGAGGAGGAGGAGGAGGAGGAGGAGGAGGAGGAGGAGGAAGGCAGTGGTGCAGCGATCCTTGGCCTAGCCAGGGCACGAATCGAAGTCACGCTGGATGAGAGATTGTGGTTTAATTTTCGTGTTGGACTTGCTTAGCTCGTGGTGGATGAAGATGACTTTCGGAGAAGGAAGGGGGAGAAGGATGAGGAGAGGAGGACGGGCATAACAGGTACCGCGAGGAGAACCAGCGGAGGTTGGAAGCCTCTCTCGGCGGTCTCACCAACGTCACCGTCGCCGCCATCGCCGCCTTCGGCGCCGACAGGCTCCTCCGCCGCGCGCGCTCCTGCTCCTGCTCGCCTGCCGCCTCCTCCTGCTCCCTCGTGAGCCTGCTCGGCCACGCGCAGGGGGGGGTAGGGGGAGGGGGGAAGGGAAGGCTCCTTCTACGAGGCCTTCCCCTCTCCCCCCGCCCCTCTCTGCGCGCCGCCAACCTGCGGCGACAGATTCAGCGATGTGGCGTGCGACTGGTGGCTGGACCTCTGCCGGGACCTGTCGGGGACCCTGTCGACCGGGTACCTGTTGGTGGCGGCCTACGTGGCCTTCAGCCTGAACAATGTGTCCATCGCCGCGGTCCCTTGGCCTCCCCAGGGGACCGGGGGGCCCAGAGACAGAGACCGTCAGCCACGACTCTCCTGCCCCCATCGAGGATAGGGGATCGTGGGTTCGGGGGGCGTTCTGTGCTCAGTCACCTGGATTTTGCGCTTCGGATTGTATCCCTCGTCCCAATTGACCAGCATTGTGTTTTTTCAATTGGAGTGCTCGCCCCGGGGCTCGCACTTTTTTTTCACGGGAAGCTTTCCCGCTCTGTGATATTCGGCCGCCGGACTACAACATCAGCAGCGGCTCTTGCTTGTCACTTCCTCGCACTATATCGAGGAATCGCGCTTTCGCCTGGGACTTCCTGGCAGTCTTCTCAAGCACCGCGCTGTCGACACCTACATAGGACTCGCCCCCTCGCAAGAAATCTCCCTGACAAATTGACCAGGAGTCGTGCTCTCACCTGAGGCTTCTCCACAATGTACAAAGTTCGCTGCAATTTCCCAGCCCGCCAGACCCGCCCGTTTGGACCCGCCCGATCCGCCTCGCTTGTTAGACGTGTTTTTTCTTACATCTCCCCTGGGCGTTTTTTTTAACCGTCTTGAGCTCGGCGTGTTGGAAATCATTGCTGTAGCATTTTTAGTTTAGGCCCCAGCAAGAGAAATACAAACGCGAAAACCAATATTCATTGTTTTGCGTGTTCAGCTACGTTTTTGAAAGCTTCTCTTCAGATCAGTGGGTTGCATTGTTTTACATTGCCGTCTACGACGTCCTCAGTTCCTTCTCCTGGCGTGCAGTCCTTCTCCTGGCGCGCAGTCTGGCCGGCCCGATGGCCGATTGCCCCTCCCGGGGCCATCGGGCCTCTTGGCCTGTTCCGGGCCGGTGTTAGATCGGTGTTAGAGTGTTTTTTTAGTTCTTACAGCTCTGAAAAGGAGAACGGTGACCGAAACGAAAAAGCGGGAGCGAAGGCAGCAGGGAAGACAAGGAACAGCCTTCGACCGGAAAGCAGAACACGCTAACACAACTTATGACCTACAGCGACGGGCCTAAAACCGCCAAAGAGACGGAGATGAAAATCCGCTAGAACACCGTCGCGTGTTTTGGCTCTTAGTCTGTCACGAGCCCAAAGTCCAAAACGGTGAAGCAAAAACACGCCCAGGGCCTTCAAGATGAGCCAAGCGGTTAGGGTCCGCCCGTCCGACCGACCCTGCCGTCAGGGTCCGCCCGCCCCTTCGACTGTCTGGAAGGCCGCCCGCCCGACTCGATCGTTGTCAGGGTCCACCCGCCCAACCCGCCCTCCAGGGCCTGCCCGCCCGACGCCCATCAAGGTCTGGGAAACATCCCTGCTTCTTAGAAGGCGCGGGCCTTCTTTGTAGATGTGAGGCCGGCGCCTTCTAAGAAGCAGCCTCCTTCTAAGAAGCCTTCCCCCCTCCCCCTACCCCCGTGTGCGCGCCGCCAAAAGGTCTGCCCGTCCGCCTGCTCTGGAAGCCCACCCGGCCCGCCCGTCAGGGTCCGCCCACCCGGCCCGCCCGTCGGGGTCCTCCCGCCCGGTCCGCCCGTTGAGGTCCGCCCGCTCGATCTGCATGTCGGGGTCCGCCCGCCCAGCACGCCCTCCGTGGTCTTCCCGCCCGAGCCGCCCAGCAGGGTCCGCCCGCTCGCTGTGCGGGCAAGGTTCTGCCCTTTCGCTTGCGTGGAAGCTTGCCAGCCCGTCCGCCCCGTCCGTTGGGTGCGCCTGCCCGACCCGCCCGATGCGTCAGCCCGCCCGCCCCGCCTGTCAGGGTCCGTGAGTCGATCGTCATGCGTCTCTCTCCCCCTTTCCTCCTGATCTTGTCTGTTCTCAATACTCCTCCCTCCCCTCTGCCCCCTTCCCCCTTTGTTGCCGCATCCCTTCCCCGCTCTCTCCATTTGTTTTGAGCATTCCTGTACCTATTTCAAGGGGTCTCGCCAGCTACACATGGAAGGCAAAGGACATACACTCTCAAAGGAGGCACGACCGAAGACGAAGAGGCTGGTCATCGAGGGCTTGGAGTATACAGGTTGAGTGCCACGCGAGCAGCCATAAAGCAAGCAGTCTAAAGGTATTGTTGTTGTTGGCGTTCTTTTTGTTTGGGAGCTTCAGTGGACCTCGAAAGACGTCGGGCCGACGTGCGGAACGGGCCAGGGCCGAACCGAAACGGGAAGGAAGCGGCCTGGCGTTCCCAGCTTCTCGCTGCCCTTGCATGTGTTTTTGTTGTCAGAAGTCCGCAGCCTCGGCGGCGCGCAGAAGGCGTTGTCGTGAGAGGGGTGGCCTTCTGAGAAGGCGTGAGGGCGCCTTAGAAGGCAAGGGCCTTATGAGAAGGCCCCAGAGGCGTCGCAGATCAGGAGCCATGAGGGCTCCCAGGAAGCTCCCTTCCTTACGAGAAGCCCACCCGCTCGTTAGGAAGCCGCCCACCTCGCGCCAATCCGTTGCACGTGTCGCCAGAGGGTGGTGCGGGGACCACAACTGCGTGGCATTGCCAGTTTTTCTACCGCTCTCGGATCCCGACCCAGGCAGGCCTGAGAAGATTGCAGCACCCCGCCTTTGGAGGGGGCGGGCGCTGGGTGGGTCGCGGGTGGGTCGCGAGTTGGGCAGCGGGTTGGGTCGCGGGTGGTCCGCGGGTGGGTCGCGGGCGGGTCGCGGGCGGGTCGCGGGCGGGTCGCGAGTTGGGTCGCGGGTGGTCCGCGGGTGGCTCGCGGGTGGGTCGCGGGCGGGTCGCGAGTTGGGCCGCGGGTGGTTCGCGGGTGGGTCGCGGGTGGGTCGCGGGCGGGTCGCGGGCGGGTCGCGGGCGGGTCGCGAGTTGGGTCGCGGGTGGTCCGCGGGTGGGTCGCGGGTGGGTCGCGGGCGGGTCGCGAGTTGGGCCGCGGGTGGTTCGCGGGTGGGTCGCGGGTGGGTCGCGGGCGGGTCGCGGGCGAGGACGGCGGCAACAATGACACAGCGCAGCGCAGCAACAGTCCGCACCGCGGATCCCCACTTGAGCCACGCACCCAGGGACAGTGAACGACCGGCTCCCTCACTCTGATGAGCGCCCGAGAGCGCGGACGCAATCTGAAGACAGAGAGCTCGACCAAACTCAGAGTCGTGCTTGTGAACTTGAAGCAGACGGAGAGTCGGGCGGGGGGGCGTGGCGCGCGCGCAGCTGGCACACCCCGGGACAGGGAATGACCGATCAGCCCCCTCACTCTGATTGCACGCCGGTCGCTGAAAGTAGGTATTTTTGGATTTCCAGATCCCAATCTACTTCAAGCGCCTTCCTACTTCAAGAATCGGCACGCTTTTGCTGTGTTTTGTTTTTCTCTGGGAGGACCTGGACCCAATCCACTATATCCGCCTTCCTACTTCATGTTTCTACCTCTACTTCTCCCGACCGACGTGTATACGTGGTTGCGGTTAGCAGAGCTTCCTGGAACGCCCCGAACAGACCGCGGCGCCCAGTGCGTCCTCCCCACTGGCTGGCTCCCAGAGGTTCCCAGCTCACCGCACTGGGGCCTCGGACGTCGACACCAGCACCAAGATTCTGTGGCTCGAGTTCCAACGTTGGAGCATGCTGACGGGACTTCATCTCCTGGTGCCGATGCCCTTCCTATCCTGTCTCTGTGCCTTCCTCGCACCATCCCGGTTCCTACCGTCCCGCTCCTGCACCTTCTTGGGAGGCCCCCGAACGGAGCAGTTAACACTTTTTTGATTCGCGGGTCGAGAGCGCACCTCTTCTGGTCGAAGCTAAGCGGGCCGCGCGAACCTTGAATTAACCAGGGATGGGGGAGGAAAAGCCGGTGCAGTAAACACACCGTGCGGTGGGTCAGTGAGGATTCAGGGTGACCGCACTGTTCTGGGACTGTCCTCCGAGGACCTCTCAGGCGACCGGGGCCCTCATAGCCCCCAAACCGTGCAGCGAGGTCGTTGGTTTTTCCGAGGTCACCGCGCGGCGTATCGCCGCACCGTTCTGGGACCCCCCACGTGTGTAGCTGCCCTGGTACGCCCGTTTTGAAATGCGACACGCGCCGTGTTCAGAGCGTCCGCATTAGCACGCTGTGTGTTGGCTCGCCACGTGTTCGCCACGTTTGGGCGAACGTATCGCGCCAGATCTACGTTTTCAGCCCACGTGTTGAGCTCCGTGCCACCGCGTTACGGGCTGCGTCTTGCGCATCGGGGCAGCTAAAGCAGGGCGGCCTCAGCCCCAAAACCTGATGAGCCTCCCACTCTCCTGGCCCCCTGGGGGTGGCCCACCGACCGCGGCTCCAGCAAGCAGGGCGGCCTCAGCGCCACCGTGGCCGCGGTGGAGCTGTGGAAGTCGGTGCTCAAGCGGGGCGGGGAGCTGCTGAGCGAGGCCAAGGCGAAGGCGGACGACCCCGACTAGTCCGGGCGCGCGCGAGCGAGCCCCGCGGCGCAGAGGAGGAGCAGAGACCGATGCGGCTGCTCGTCCTGGAGGGCCCCTGCCGCAACGGCCAGACTCTCTTCGGAATTCTGGTCAGGCGGCGCCCCGGGAGAGGTCCAGGGAGCAGTGTCATCGGCATCCTGTTTTTCCCCCCCGCTGCATGGGGGAGGAGCACGCGGTGGGTCCTTCATCCTTCCCCCCTGCTCCTCTCCTCCTCTCCTGCGCCCCTCCTCCTCCCCTCCTTTTCCTCTCTTCCTCCCCTCCCCTTCACAATTACTCAATATGAAAATACCGTCCCTCTTCCCCTGATGGCGTCCGGGTGATGGCCGCGCACCCTCCGCGTACTGTTCTTTTACACAGGATCCCCGGGAAATCCCGGGAAACGACTCGCTGAGGCGCCGGCGTCATTTTTTCCCAAAATGCTGCTCTCGTTGAGGCGCCGGCCTCATTTCTGCTCCCGAATCGTTCCGAATCGTGCTCCCGCTGCAGCGTGGGCCTCATTTTCGGATCGGTGTTTGGCCTCCGTCGTTCAGGATGGCGTTCTCGCCCCAGCGCGGGCCTTTTCTCGCGCGCCCATCCGCCCGCCACCACCGCGCCGCACCGCCACCACCACCACCACCACCACCACCACCACCACCACCACCACCACCACCACCACCACCACCAGCACCAGCACCAGTACCAACACCACCACCACCAGCACCACCACCACCACCAGCACCACCACCACCATCACCACCACCAGCACCACCACCACCACCACCACCACCACCACCACCACCACCACCACCACCACTACCACCACCACCACCACCACCACGACAACCACGCACACACGCACGCACGCACGCACGTGCACCACCACCCACTACGCACGCGCGCGCGGAGCCACAGGTCCGCTACGACACGCGTCCGCGGATAGAGAAAATCAGCGCCATGGTAAGGGATGGGAGGGAGGGGTAGGACGTCAGATATGACGCGAGCGCACCTAGCTTGTCCTCCCCCCCTCTCCCCCCTCTCCTCGCCCTCCCCCTCCACCCCTCCTCTGCTCCTCCTTTCCTCCGCCTGCGATGAAGGCAGCCAGAGGTCAAGATGTCAAATTTGTTTGCGATCTGTTTTCCTTTGTTTTTGTCACTCTCGGAATCCTGTCTCCATCGTTTCCTCCTCCCGTTCTTGGTTTTGCTCTCCCGTGTAACGTACAACGCCTTCGCAGCTGCACGCTGCAAGAGACATACTCAGAAGTCCCAGGTTTGTTTCCTCGAGTTGCGTGACGATAAACAGGTGTTCGAAATCCGGCCTCCCTCCCTCCAGCGGGCGGTGCTAGGACTGGGACGTACCAGGGCGTTCGGACGTTCGGGAACGCTCTCAGAGCGTTCCGGAGCGCTCTGGAACGGCCGCGGCGCACGATACAGCCTCCAGAACCGCCGGATCGCAGAGATCCCCGATTTGACTGGGTCCGATTTTGTGTCCTGGTCCTGGCCTTAAGTCGGGCCTGTCTCCGTACAAGGGGATTTTCGACGAAAAATAATTATCCCGGCAAAAAGCAATGTAACAGCGATGTGTAGGAGCATGTCTGGAAGCATTCCCCTTAAGATTCAGATGAGAATCCAGTTGTAGAATTCTGCTGTTCTCGCAGTCGTAGTCGCATTCGCGATGACAGTCGCAGTGGCAACGGCAGTCGCAGTCACAGCCTCAGCCTCAGCCTGCCTCAGCCTCAGCCTCAGCCTGCCTCAGCCTCAGCCTGCCTCAGCCTCAGCCTCAGCCTGCTTCAGCCTCAGCCTCAGTCTGCCTTCAGCCTCGGCCTCAGCCTCAGCCTGCCTCAGCCTCAGCCTGCATCAGCCTCAGCCTCAGCCTCAGCCTGCCTCAGCATCAGCCTGCCTCAGCCTCAGCCTCAGCCTGCCTCAGCCTCAGCCTCAGCCTGCTTCAGCCTCAGCCTCAGTCTGCCTTCAGCCTCGGCCTCAGCCTCAGCCTGCCTCAGCCTCAGCCTGCCTCAGCCTCAGCATCAGCCTGCCTCAGCATTCAAAATGTGGCCCGGGAATGGAGTTCTGGGAACTCGAAGAACACGAAGTGGCCTACAGTTGGCTCCGGGCATTCAAAATCATGCCCAGGAATGGAGTTCTGGGAACTCGAAGAGCACGAAGTGGCCTACAGTTGGCTCCGGGCATTCAAAATGTGGCCCGGGAATGGAGTTCTGGGGACTCGAAGACCACGAAGTGGCCTACAGTTGGCTCCGGGCATTCAAAATGTGGCCCGGGAATGGAGTTCTGGGATTTCGAAGAGCACGAAGTGGCCTACAGTTGGCTCCGGGCATTCAGAATGTGGCCCGGGAATGGAGTTCTGGGACCTCGAAGACCACGAAGTGTGTAACAGTTTGCTTAAAACGACTTCCGCGGATTCTCCCCGGCACCCGTCCGGCATCTGCCCAGACCCCCCTGGGGCGTCATGATGTTCTCTTTTGAGCTTGCTAGAAACCTATGAGTCTTCGCTGTTAGGTAAAAAATACCCCCCAAATAGTCGAACAATTGTCCAAAAATAGTATGGGGACTATTTTGTGAGTATCTTTTTGAGGTAGTTCTCGGTTTTTTCATCGAAAATCCCCCTGTAGGGGGACACGCCCGACTTAATCCTGGCCTTGTCTTACTCCACCCTCCCCGGCGGGGTGTTTTGAGGCAGCCTCGCCGCTGAGCAGCGGCCGTACCTCGCGGGCTGCAGGAGGAGGAGGAGGAGGAGGAGGAGGAGGAGGAGGAGGAGGAGGAGGAAGAAGGGAGTAGGAGAAGGAGGAGGAGGAGGACGGGAGGAGGAGGAGGAGGAGGAGGAGGCGGAGGAGGAGGAGGAGGAGGAGGAGGGAGGAGGAGGAGGAGGAGGAGGAGGAGGAGGAAGGAGGAGGAGGAGGAGGAGGAGTAGGAAGGAGGAGGAGGAGGAGGAGGAGGAGGAGGAGGAGGAGGGAGGAGGAGGAGGAGGAGGAGGGAGCTCAGGAAATAGCTAACAGTCTGGCGTCTGTGGGTAGAGTCGGCAGCCATGGTTGTGGGCAATCCAGCCAATGCCTGGGCACCGCGTTTTTTCAATAGGCAGCGGGCTGCGCAGTTCTGTTTGTGCACTTTTTTGGCACCTCCAGCTCATTCCATCTGCGATCCCTCCAACCCCCTCTTCCTCCGTTCTGGGTCCTCCGTGTGACGTGGATGCCACACACTCCCTAACCAGTGCTTGCACTTCGGGGGGCTGTTACGGTCAGGAACCTGGGCTCAGCGTGCCGCGCCGTCGAGTCTGGCCCACAACGCTTCGGCGCGACACGTCACCGACGTCCCAGTCACACTGTCTCGAGTTTCCCCTGGCCTCCCGCCTCGCGGAGCACGTCGCCGCCGCCGCGACACGCTAAGAGCACGAGATCCCGCCCGTGCTCCTGTTCCAAAGGAAGAGGATGGGCATGCAGAGGACTTCTCACGCTGCCGCCCGCTGCCGCCCGTGGGGACCTGCCGAAGATTCGCCACGCTGCCGTCCGTTGCCGCCCGTCGGGGCATGCCGAGGATCTCGCCGCGTTGCCGCCCGCTGCCGCTGCCGCGTGAGGGGGCACGCCGAGGATTCGCCACGCGGCGCTGCCAACCGATGCTGCCCGGTGCCGCCTGTGTGGACATGCCCGGGGTAGGGGGCCACATGCGAACCCTACTCCTACCCCCCACGATTTCTGAGGGGGAGGGTGGGGTTCACTTCGTTCGGGAGCTCTCGAGCGAAGTGAACCCCACCCTCCCCCGCAGAAATCGTGGGGGGTAGGGGCAGGGCTCGCACGTGGCCACCTGAGGGGTTCGCCACGCTGGCGCCCGTGGCCGCCCGTGGCCGCCTCGCCGCCGCCCCCTTGCCGCCCGTGTGGTGTGCGGAGGGTTCGCCACCCTGCCGCCCGCTGAGCCCGTTGCCGCCTCGTGGCCGCCCGTCGGGACATGCCCAGGCTTCGCCACGCTGCCGCCCGCTGCCGCTTCGTTCCGGCCCCCTTGCCGCGCCGTTGCCGCCTCGTGCGCTGCGTGGGTATGGCGAGGATTTGCCACGTGGCCGCCCGCTGCCGCCTCGTTGCCGCCTCGTCGTCGCCTCTTGGCTGTGCATCGGCGCCCGTTGTCGCCCGGTGCCGCCTCGTTGCCGTGTCGATGCCGCGTCGCGTGCCGTGTGGGTAGGTCGAGGACCCGCCACGTCGCCGCCCGTTCCGCCCGTGGGCGCCCAGTTTCTGAAGGGCGCTGGTTCACACCGCACAGCTTGCGCTTCATAGATTACACCACGTAGCTTGCTCCACAGAGCTTGCTCCGCACAGTGTCCACCTCTGTGGGTCACGCCATGCAGCTGACACGGCATAGCTTCCACCACATAGCTTACACCGCGTGGCTTCATCCCCACAGTGCAACCACGCATTGTTTGGGGTCCACGCTGCCTGAACGCTGCCTGACATTTCGTATGATTCGTAGGAGGTGGACCCAGAATATGAGGTACACCATGGGCCATAGTTTGTCTCCTCTCTAGTTGTAGTGCAGACTGGGTGACTCTTCGCAGCCGCATTGCGGTGAAAAATGCGACGACGGCAATGACAATGGTGGTACGGTGGCGGAGCGTGATGGGGTGTGCACAGATCAATAATGATGTTTCGAAGGCTGATGATTCTGCGAGCGTGCGATAAGCCGAACGTCTCAGAGACCAGCTCACAAACTTTGATCGGATGATTGCAGATCCATCTCGAGGGGACTTTCTTGTGGCAACCATGCTTCCGCTCCGTGTTGTGCTGTTTTTTTTCAGGATCGGGAGGACGGGTATGCAAACGGGGACGAACACTTACACAGTTTACAGACCAGGCACATCTCCACTTGTCTGGCTGTCCCCTCTCTCATAGGCGTGATCGTGCGCCATTTATGCCAGCGGGGTCGAGCTTGAGGCTTGAGGCCCCCCCCCAGGTTCATGACATGCCTCTGATCAACTCGAGTCGAACCCGGCATCTACCCTTGCCTTGGCAAATCTAGGTTCAGGGCGAATATTGTTTGCTGAGTCCTGGGTTCGCAAGTCCCAACGAGTTCGTGTGCCCTCAAGAAGTCAGATGAGATGATTTGGTTGCTGCTGCGCACTCGCAGCACGCACGGGGGGAGGGCGCAAGTGCCGGTGTAGCGCCCAGCAAGAGGCGCGCGTGGCGAGCCCGCGCCCGATTTGGCAAGTGCCGGGCACCGCCCAGCAGCAGGCACGCGTAGCGTGCCCGCGCCGACGCCCGATCCGCGCGACGTCGGAAGCCAGCGCCCACGCTGACGCGGGGGGCAGTGCCGGGGCACCTCCCAGCCCAGACCCCCGATGCCGTGACTTTTTCACACCGTGGATCCGTGAAGGCCTCGAGGTCGTCGTCGTCGTCGTCGTCGTCGTCGTCGTCGTCGTCGTCGTCGTTGTCGTGGATCCCTGGGGACCAGCTGGTCGTCTCGAGTCGTTTCTGGGCGGCCGCGGGCCCCGGCGAGGGCCCCCCCCCAGAAGGGCCGACACACGACAACAGGCCTCCCTCGCCGTGAGCATGCGTGGCGGGCCCGCGGCCGCCTCGGTCCGAGGCGGTGCCCGCTGTGCCCGTGGCCGGGCGGCCAGCGCGGGCCGCCGATCGGCGCCCCGCCGGGGGGCACACGCCTCCTCCGCCTCCTCCTCCTCTTCCTCCTCCTCCTCCTCCTCTTCCTCCTCCTCCTCCGCCTCCTCCTCCTGCTCCGCCTCCTCCTCCGACTCCTCCCCCTTCTCCTCCCCCCCCTCCTCTTTCCTCCTCCTCCTCCTCCTCCTCGTCCCCTTCTCCTCCTCCTCCTTCTCCTCCTCCTCCGCCTCCTCCTCCTCCTCTGCCTCCTCCTCTTCCTCCTCCTGCTCCTCCTCCTCCTCCTCCTCCTCCTGCTCCTCCTCCTCATCATCATCCTCCTCCCACTTCTCCTTCTCCTCCTCCTCCTCCTTCTCCTCCTCCTCTTCCTCCTCCTCCTCCGCCTCCTCCCTCCCTGTTCTCCTCCCCATTCCTCCCTCCTCCTCCTCCTCCTCCTCCTCCTCCTTCTCCTCGTCCCTCCCTCCTCCGCCTCCTCCTCCTCCTCCTCCTCCTCCTCCTCCTCCTCCTCCTCGTCCTCCTCCTCCTCCTCCCTCCTCCTCCTCCTCCTCCTCCTCCTCCTCCTCCTTGTGAAGAGTGCACTCCCCTGCCCCTCTGCCGCCCGTGCCACCATGTGTGTATGTTGTACACGCTTGTCTTGTTTTGTGGCATGCACGCTGCCCGCCGCTGTTTTGGCCCTAGTCCTAGGGCCCTGGGACGCACCCGCAGTTTCGACCGCCGCGCGGTCCGAGCGAAAACAACTGCACTGACATTGGTAGCGGAGCTTGTAAGCTCCAGCGGACGCACTGCGTGCTCTGCTTCGGTGGCTGTGACCACCCGCGCGGGCCGCCATGGCTGTCAGCCAAGACGGCTCAGATGTGGAGGCTCCGTCCTCCGCGGGCACAGGTCCGCCGGACCTGCATGCAGTCCTGCGCGTAATGGCCGAGACCCAGCGGGAGCTCCTGGCCTTACATCGGGATCGTGGTGGCGACGGCGGTCCCAGACGGGCACGTCTACTGCTGTCGCAGGTGAAGCTCCCAGAGTTCGATGGTGCAGTCGGTACGAGTACTAAGAAGTACCGAGGGTGGCGCAAGGAGGTTGAAGTCATCCGCAACCTCAACCAGCTCTCAGATGTGGAACTGGGCCTGATCATCTACAGTCAAGTGACAGGTCGAGACAAAGAGCTCATCGAGGTGCTTGATGCGTCGGACCTCCGACGCGAGGAGACGCTTGAGACCATCTTTGCTATCTACGACGACGCCTTCGAGAAGATGGATCACGAGCGCCTCGATCAGGTGCATCAGGAGTGGGAGCGAGCGCACCGTCGAGCTGGGCAGCCGATCGTGGATTGGACCACGTACTTGCGCAAGAAGCGCATGGAGTTGCAGCTCGAGGATCCCACATCAGCGATCAGCGATCGCGCGTTGGCGAGCAAGATGCTTCGTGGCGCTGGACTGTCGCAGAAGGAGCGAGCGCAGGTGCTCTTCAACTGTGGCGGCTTCTACGACTCGAAGCGGATGGAGGTCGTGCTGAAGGCAGCCTACTCGAAGGTGCACGACACCGAGAAGCGCTCAGTGCTCCCTCGCCGCTCGCCGTTTGCGGCGCAGCGTGAGCACGGGCGCTCCTCTGGGAGTTCGGGCGGTCGCTATCCGCACCCTCCCATGGCTCGTAGGCCGTGCGTGCTGCGAGGACGCTCTGGCCAGCACGTACACGAGGTAGAGAACGGCGAAGACTACGATGAACACCACGGCGACTTGGAGGAGGCGCAGCATGACGAAGATGAAGCAGACGACCAGGACGAAGGAGATCTCGGAGGGGCCGAGGGCACCTTCTTCGAGGAAGGCGCCGAGGTCGAAGAGGAGCTGGCGTCGGACAACGACGGGCCAGATGACGAGGAGTACGAGGCACCGGAGGATCTTCAGGAAGCGTTCTTGGCCGGCTGGAGGGCCAAGCAGAAGACGGCGGTACAGCGTCAGAAGCGCGGGTTCGTTGCTCCTCGGCAGCGGGACCCCAAGAAGATCAACGCCAGCGGCTCCTTCCAGGCTGGTCGGAAGCCGACAGACCAGCGCAAGGCTAACAGCCGGTGTGCTGACTGCGATCAGCCTGGCCACTGGCGTGGCGACCCAGAGTGCCCCAAGGTGAAGAGTGGCGAGCGCGAGCCGTGCAACAAGATCGGGCCTAAGAATGGCCAGCCAGCGTCGCCCAACCAGCGGAGCTCTGTGAAGCCGCCGGCGCCTAGGCAGGTGCATGGACCGATCGTCCACTGGGTTGGCGTGGCAGGCAGTGCCGAGGAGCGTCGTGGCCGCGCTCCATGGCGCCGTGCTCCCCAGTCGGCGCCTGCCCAGAGGCATCCGGTGGAGGGTCGAGCGGACGCGCCAGAGCGAATCATTATGCACCCCAGGCCCAAAAGCATGCCTGCGCCGAGCCTACGCCAGGACGCCGACGACGGCCCAGGGGCCGCACAGAGCAGTGATGAACGTGCGCGCGCCCGTGCCAGGCGCGGGGAGGATC